GCCCCCACTTACTTATGTGCTAGCACGTCGTTTGAATAACATTGGATAGAACCTGGGGTATTTGGGAACCCCTATTATTATATAATGGAAATTTTGAAAAAAAGAACATGAAATATATTCCCAGGTGTGGCAAATAATACTTTATAAAGACTCCTTGTTGACCAAATCAATTATTCAAGATGATAGTTATATCGATATGCGAAAGTCATCCTGTCTTCAAGCCAAACCTATAATCTAGAATATTACATAAGGGTCGGGTTGTGATCTAGGGATGAGCAGAGTGCATCTGTTTTGATTCAATTATTGACCAATTGGTCAAGATTTCAAAAGTAGCTAGCTTAACTTGATATGGTTATAACATTTATTGATAATTTGAAAATTATGTATAAAAAACCCAAATTTGACCTACTGGGGTACTTCAGGACCCCCGAGATTCAATAGGCGTTATAGTCAATTTTTAACCAAACTGGCCCCAAAATTAGTTGAAATATCCCTTACAAAGTGGTCAAAATGGTACCAAATAATTTTTTATTTCATTGGACAACTTTAACAATAAATAATATATGAATGTTTTGACAGTATGTTGTTTGTATTTCGGTGCCGAAATAGGTGTAGAGGGATTGGATAAGGGGCCAATAAGATAGGTGTTTTGGTCGTATCACGGCATATCCTGTCGGGAAAAAAATATCAAGAGTTGTTGGCATATTATTAGTGCAGCAAGGTAATTTCACCAGTCTCAACTGACCTGTATTTATATTGAACAGGTCTCATCTTGGTAAAATATTATGTACTCTTCATATTGAATATATCCATAAATTTATTTCATAATTTGAATTAATTTGTGTGTATAGGGGCTATTTTGACTATTGTATTTGGGGTCATTTCGACTAATTTTGACTTTTGGGGCCATTTTGACATGGGGACATTTCGATTAGTGCCAAATTGACTTTAACCTAAGATAACTAGCTTTAGGAGTATATTACAATTTAATTTTATTCACTGAAATCCAGTTTTAGTACTGCATTTATCTGGGGTCTAACTGAACCCCAACATACTAGCATGGTGTGTTTCAATTTAAAGGGGTAACATATCCGCTAATTGTGATTGTTGCACAGTAGACTGATCATGAACAGGTTAAAAATTCATTCAGCTACAATCTTCGATGGCATTTTGGAAATTCGAAAAAAATCTGTGCTGGGGTCCCGAAATACCCCAAGTTCTAGCACAATTGAAAAATCTGATTTTTTTTACGTTTTTTAACCAGATTATTCGTCAGAATGCACCAAATCAGTTTTCTCGGAAGAAAATCAACATCCCCTAGACACTTCATGAGAGGCTTGTGAATGTGACGCTTCAACAAAGTTGTCGCATTGCGAATTCAGACTCGATAGTCTGTCCCCTAGTGAAGCCAGTCTGTCCCCTATCTGTACCCCCAGACTCGAGAGGCTGGCGCCGCCACTGGTCCAGGCCCCCACTACCAGAAAAAAGAATTTGAAATTAAATCTAAAATGTAACAAAGTAATTATCTAAAAAATAACACACAATATGAAATGGCTTTTAAGTTAAGTTTGGGTTTTACCAAGGGCAATGCAATATTATTTTCTAATTTAAGAAATAGGGCACATGGTATGTCGAGTCATCGTGGCTTTAACTTCACTGTTTTTGGGGATTTATGCAATCCTTGGGAAGTATTAAATACCACACCCACGATTATTTAAACATTATGCAATTTTCAGGGAATTTTCAGGTATTGGAATGCCCAATGTCACCCGAACCTTTTACTTATTGTATGTCTGTGATAATAGCTACTTAAATACTTGTTTTTGCTTAAAGGTATACTAACTCTTACGATGATTAAAATATTGAAATTTTTAAACTTGGCCAAAACGATCCTTGTTCATCAGTGGACTTACCTGGTGCCATAACTATACAAAAGAATCCCTCTATATTCCAATAAATACATTAAAAAAATAATTTTTAAACATGATTCAATAATTATCTAGTTTAATGGATATATCATCTTATATAGAGATTCTATTCTTTATTCATGGCACCTGGTAAGTCCAACCGATGAATATACCCACTTGAGACTTTAAATTGTATGTACCTTAACACTTTGTACCTTGCCCAATTAGGTGCAGAAGAGTAGGCCGTATATTATTTCATTTTAAATACATGACAACTAACAATATGATCCGCTTTTTAATTTCAAATGTTGCTCTTCGGGTCTTAGCTCCTCCCTGATCACCGTCATGCTATGTAAAAGATTAGAATATATCGAAAACTTCTCAGGGAAAATATCATTGAGCGCGAACACTACTCTGTTTCCAAGAACATAACAAAATGGCAAGGTGCCAAAGGGAATTCTGGAGAATCTGGAAATTCTAAAAAATGATAAATTTCTGGAAATTTGAAAGGGTTTGAATAAAACTATTTTGCATTTCATATACTCTTCATTCTACGTGCGAATATTACCGACATTAAAAGTGAGTTTATTTTAAGTGAAAGGAAACCGTTATCATGTCTGAAAAAATAAACTATTCTTCATATCTTAAGGTAAGGATTTTGGAAGATTAATTATGATAGTTGCAAAATTTAATTTAAAAATTAATCTAATCTCATTAGACGTTGCTGTATGAATATACACTGACAATTGATCTACTTGAGGTCTGCATGATTACTAATAGTATTCTACTCTCTGACTACATTGGGCTTTGAATTGAAATTTTTCTCTCATTTCATACATATTCAAAATGAAATTGAAATGCCATTGGTCTTAGATTGTCTTTGGGTCTATAGAAATATAAGATTCAATGATTTTACGTTTAAAATAGACACACTTCTCTCCCAGTAAATTCACTGAAAATGACCTACTTTTTGGCTTGATAATTCTCCTCTATAAAATCATATTTACAAATATTAACTTTGACATTGGTTGATATTTTCATCAACCCAAAGACAATCTAAGACTCTCAGTGGTATTTTGTAGTTGAAATTTCAATTCATACGAAAACAATTGCCAAAATTCAATTCGGTAAACATTGTAGACAGAGTTCAGTTTAGTTATAATCAATTAGTTTATATTATGGCCCCGTCACACCACACTGCGACCATTTGCAATCTTACGGCGACTGGAAATGTACTTTAGGTCGCGGTCAAATGTTAGGAAACAGTGCCTACAAATTACTAACTTAAAAATACACGACTTCATACATCGAGTTATGTAATAATATTGCGTTCGAACGTTTTTACAGCGTCTGTACCACGGGTGTATTGCGCTTTCATGCCGCTCTCGATCACGACATTCTCGATTTCATGGTGTTCTCTACGCGTTCTAGAACATTTCACCGAACATGTCGAAAATAAATACCGTGACGTGGCGAAGAGTGGAGACAATGGCGATTACAGTATTACCCGATGTCTGGCGTGTCTTACACGTTTATAAAACGCTTATGGCAACTGAGCCAATTTTCCGTCGTAGTAGCAACTCAGTGAGAACGCCTTTCCGGTCTGATGGGGCCTTAAATTGACTTAATCTGAAGTTCCAATGCTTGACATCTATCTTATCACAATGAAACCCATCTCTAATATTTGGTTGTGTATGCCTACAGAACCCCCCTGACCTAGACAAATGAATGGAATACGAGTATAGTAAGTTAGTTGTAAGTCTGTTTCCCTCTGTGGCGAATTGATGATGAATCATTTTCTAGGTGAGGAACATTCTCCGAGAATTCTGTTCACCATTCTCCGAGAAAAAGAAATTTCTTGAAATTTTCACACTATTCCTTGGGAATTCTGCCTTGTGTGATTTATTACTTTAACACCGAGTCTTTTTCGATCAATCTTCACAATGTCAAGATATTTCGAACTCCGTCCTACACCTGGACATCCTAAGGCACTTCACTTGAATATTCTTTACGGAATATAAAGTTCATTTTATTCTGTAGATCAAAATATTAACATCGTTTCCAGTCTTTCTGTTGGGGGTTCTGACTGGCTAATTTCCGTCATACGAGAAAAGCGTTAATTGATGTCAAGGTATTATACGATATTCATAATACCTTGACATTTATACGATGAACTAGACGACGATCTTTGATTATAAAAGGCCCCGTCTCAAAAATAAAAGAGTAAAAATCGATGACGTTATCTCTACCAATTAAATCATTATGGCGCACACCGTCAACAAAGCCTTGCACAAGACCGCAATATATTGTTCGCATCCATACTGCAACTAAACGCCATACAAAAGTTCAACCAAGTTCCTCCAGAAATATTATTTGCCCCTCAGAACAATGAAGTCTGGTTACGGACTTGAGTAAAATCTGTTATATTTCGGTATTAATTTCAGCTTGGCACTGGTTACAGAGGTAATGTATCGGGATTATTGGACTGTGTTCATCGGCTCTCTGATCAACCGGAGGAACATCTGTTCATTACCGTTCATCATGGTGAGTCTTGCTAAACACCCTCATAGGGAAATAAAAGTAATGGACAGCGACTCAACTGGATGAGAGTGGGTTGAGCTGGGATGGGGCGGGGGGATTGGGGCCCCTCCCCCGGGAATTTTTTTTTTAACTTATATTCTCCTGCATTTTTTCTGCGGGTTGGGCCACTTACAGGTGTGTGTTGGTGTGGGGGTCCTTATGATAGTTGAGCCACTCTAAATGGAGTTTTACGTCCTACTTTTCTGTACCTTATTGGACTCGTGAAGGCAATCAACGCCATCAAAGTGTGTTATGAGGAAATTTTGCAGGACAGTGGCATGAGCTTCGAGGAATCTTTAACGTGCATAGGTTGCAATTTTATTGTCCCTTCAGAACGACTAGACGCTTTATTCATTTTAGCACCTCCGACACAGTCGAAAGTCAGACTGGCTACCGACTGTCCTTTTGCACGGCCTAATGGAATACGGGTAGATTCCAACAATTGGTAAGAACAAGACCGTTCCTCAGAAGCACCACATGTTAGTCTGCGATTGACGTGTCAACCAATTGTAGAAAACCAAAAACTCCTACTGATTATTTTTATTGTAAACTATATATTTTTTACAGGATTTGAAATATGGTTTAAACAAATTCTGTTTGACTTCGGCAGAGTGAAAGGACATTTAGATACAGCCAGAACAGTAAGTTGATATCTATTGACAATGTCTGCTCTGTAGCGGGAGGGTTTTAAATCCCAACCGCCCTACTACCTCTACCGCTGTATTTTATTTTTGGTGGTGAAAATGGATTATTGTTATTTGGACCAGGCATTGAATCAGATTCCATGACACTGACGTCACCAGAAATTCTGCCAAATTGAAAATGTTTCGTTTTGTAGTTTGAAATCTGCGATCCGTAAAATAAACAATTATTATTAGCGGTTGGATAGGTAGGGTCGGTAGGGCGTTTGGAATATATAACCCACCCTTCTGTAGCTGTAAATATTTGTACCATTTTCCTCAAATGGGAACGGTTTCCGGATTACTTTATCTTATGAACCGATATCTGAAGTTTCTCAAATTAGCGTTACTACAAAATGCTTAGCCGCAGTGGCTCAACAAGATGAAATGGGGCCCGTATATCTCCTGCTCTGCTGCATTATTTTCTTGGGTTGGGGGCCCCTTACAGGTGGGGATCACAGCCTCAGACGTGACATAAATGATATAGGGAGAAATAATGGTATGACTGAACTACAAAAAATAACCGTCTTTGGAAAATCTCCAAAAAAGAAGGCCTAGGTTTTCTGTCTCGACATCGGGCCACAACTGTCAAAATAGATATCAGAGGCTGGAATACAGGCAGGTGTTTTGGTCTACATTACCTGTTACCAACATTTGGTATCACGAATTCTGTACTAATGAGACATTCTGCCAAGCGTCACACAAATCTGACCTGACCAGCTGTGGTCGTTAGAAATCATGGTGACCGCGACCTATAGGCTACTGGTTCAGACATTATTGAATAGTACAGTAAACACACTGTTTCATGTATAGTATAGACACTTGATACTAGAATAAACCATTTCTTGGGGAATCCAAAAATGAAAGTAAATGAATGGAGTTTTACATTCTACTTTTCTGCACTTAAGCAGGCTAATGAAGATCAGAAACGCCATGCAGTGTGCAATAAAGGAAATTTTGCCGGAATAGCTGTATTCGCCAACTGAAAGCTATTTATAGTACTCTGTATGGTTTGCTATTTATTTGATACTATGTTATCATAAACACGGCTGAAATCTGAAAGAAGCAATCATTATATTAGGTTACAGTCAAAAGCGCAGAACAGCGACCAAAAAAACTTCGGGGAGACAAGTAGTGTTTTCGGGTGATATTCTAAAAATGATTAAGTTCTGAAAGAAAATCCGCCGAAAATTATGGAGAAACAACCTGAAATTTTCGGGCATACCAACCTGGGTGGAAGCATTTGGTTACAACTACAGTGGTAGTACAAAACCGACTCAATATTTCCCTTCAGAAATGTTACGGTCGTCATCATGAATTATCGAAAAATAAAACTGTTTCTACTATCATTGCAGATGGTGATTTTTGTTTAACGACCAAATTTAAACATTGCTTTACATAGATGACGTGTCATGTCAATTTGCCAGAAGATTTTTCTATAATTGTGCCAATCTTGAGTAAAACATTTGCCCGTGCTTTGACGAACAGATTATCGTGTTGCCGACAGGATTTATAATATCAAAAAAAATTTAATATTTGTTGCTGATTATTTTATCGTCTGCAAGACAGAGCGTCACCATCTAATAAGATTCCGTGTTTGTAACATTATGTCTGATCATAATATATTTCTCTATCATCAGTTCCCTCCCTTCAACCGTTAAAACTGACCCATTAAGTCAACCTTTTGGTTGTTGCCTTTCTATTTATTGTGTACGTTGAGCAGCAATTTAGGTATAAGACGAAGACGTAATAGCTTGATATTGTGAAGATGATAACCTTTAACCAAGAGAATCCGACCGTTTCCATTCAAAAAGTACCAAAGAAAGCAAGTCTGTCGTATCTCCCTGTCCAGTATGCTCGTATGAAGTCATAGCCTAGGTAAAGGTAGTGGCTCACGCCTCAGCTACCACAGGGACTGGTTGAAACAAGGGCTCCTATATACCTTGAGGAGAACCTCACCCCGAAGAAAAATTACAGAAGGAGCCCAACCCAGTAACTAATTAGAGATTTTTGTATGAAATTGCAAACATTGTGACCGTATATAAAAGCTGAAAAATTCAAAACAATCTTTACAATTACTTAAATATAGCATTCTTTTATATTTCAGAATCGTTGTGATGATGCAAAAGTTCAGGAGGAACTTGGTCAAATACCAGTTCTGCTGTTTAGAAGTCGCGACTTGCTCAGGGTAAGTTAGGGTGGAGTGGGCCTGCATTATGCTACTTCTACCATATATTAAACATTAGATTACAATTTCTTTTTGTTATTATTTTTCGTCGGTCTCCAGTGTAATCTAAAAAGATTTGTACCAAGGTCGCTTACTGTTGACGTTCATTTCAACCAATCACTGTGCGTCGTGTGGAATTCGTGTCTAAATATCGACTTAGAATTGTGGAATTCAAAGTACAGATATATGGCCAATAATATTATACTGTTTATAATCGCTTGTACAAGCATTTTTGGTTGGCGCAGTATGCAACCTTGCTATAAACCTCGTTAGATTACAATGGTGACGACAAAAGAATAATAACAAAACGGAATTGTAATCTACATTATTTATTAATCCTACCAAGTACACTACAGGATTCTGCTGTCACCATCGAAAAATTAAGAGGTTTTAAAAGATGTAGAAGATACGATGTATATCCTTCATAAAATCCTTTCCCAAAATTATTCTGTACACGTTTCCTTATAGGAGCCGCGGTGGCTCAGTGAGTTAGACGCTTGCTCGCTAACCTGAAGATCCAGGGTTCAATCCCGGCATAGATCGAGATAATACCTTCGGATTTTTCAACCCGGTTTCCCCATGTCAGTGATGCAGATAAGAGGGGCTGAGATGGAAAAAGCGTCTAGTCGTTCGAATGGGACAATAAACCGAGGCCCCGTGTGCTACAGGCTGTGCACGTTAAAGATCCTTCGACAGTTGGAAATAGAAATGAAGCAGGCTAATGCCGCTGTCCTGGTAAAATTTCCCTCATTGCACCCCGCATGGCGTTGCTCGTCTTCAGTAGCCCACATGGTGCAGAAAAGTAGGACGTAAAACTCCATTCATTCAGTCATTCGTTTCCTTACAGAATTTGCTGGAGAACTTTAACATCATAGAAACTATGGGGCAACTTGCTTTTATCAATTTTAGGTATGTACAAGTTTACAATTGATCAATCTACAATCTAGATTAATATACAATACATTATACAAACTGTACATAATTTATGATTATGATAACTATATTTGTAGTTTTGTGTACCACACGATGTAACCAGTGTTTAACTGAAAAGCTTTCATTAATGACCCTAAGCACATTCCTTTAGAGATGGGTTTCCTTATTTTTTAGTGTCAGATTAGTATTTCTAATGAATTATCATGTATTCTAAATCATATCATTATGTTCTTATTGCATATAATTAAGAGTTTTAATCAATCATAAATGTCCATGTATGTACAGTCTGGATAAACAAAAAAAGACTTTTTGACCTTTTTTGATCGGTCACTCATTGGAATTCTGCTGGTAATTCTCTTCTAATTTAGCTAATTATGAATTAATTATGTGAAACAAACTGGTATTTTTCCACGTCATTAGAACACCTCTACTTTCTATTCATATATAGCATTTTCATTTTCATAAATGGAAATAAGGCAACCCATCTGTAAACAAACGTTAAGAACTTGTTGCGAAATGTAAACATGATAATAAGTTCTACTTGTCCAATTTCAGTAGGGACTCAGGCTGAAATGTCATTTTTCTCAAGATTGCAAAGCGTGAAACTCTTGAGTCGGCAACAAAAATCGTCGACAAAGACTGTTCCTGTGCCCGAACCTTAGTTTACTGCTACTGATTGTTCATATAATATTATATTATAAGGAGTTGAAATTTAGACAGAAATTAGAGAAGCCATCATTTTGGTTCGGGAATATTTCTTCTTGATAATGTTTTCTGTATCTCACATCAACTTTGAAAGTGCATCAATTGATGAAAGAGATTGTAGAGAGGTTTTTCTAGAATTTGAAAATTTGACCTCGGGGTCAGTTGAAAAATCATGACGGCGGTTTACAACGGTCTATTGACTGATGGCGGCAGTATGTGTTCGTTAGTCGATTAAGTCCATCATTTCAGTTATATGTTATTATTTCAGAGAATTTTTAACTGGAGGTTCTGGTTTCCAAAGTCACCAATTCAGAATGATAGAGAATTCATTCGGACTCAAAGAGGTAAGTTCAAAGAAAATACACGTCATTCTTTGAAAAGTTTCGCCTGATATGTGTGAAAAAAAAACAATGTGCATAAAGTGATACTACGTCTTAGAATGAAAATTTTAAGTTCTCAAGAATGGTCAATATGAGTATATATTCATCAGTGAACTTACCCGGTGTCATAAAGTTACAACAGAATCCCTGTAAAATCTGTAAAATTCATTAAACTAAGTAATTATTGAAAAGCGCTTAATCATGATATTAAGCGTTTTTCAATAGTTAATTGCATATTTATGGATAATTACTAAGTTTTTTGGATTTATCGGATTATATTAGGATCCTGTTATATTATTTATGACACCAGGTATATCTACTGATGAATATATGTTCTTATTGGCCAAGTTTAAATTTTTTTGAATTTTATGTTCTTCTTTGACGTAGTATTCCTTTAAAATACATATTTAAAATATACTCTCAATTGAAAATGGAAGTTTAAACGGCTGTCATTTAGGTCGTTTTGGCTTTTATCCCACCCGATTTTTCCATAAAATTCTTTGCGTTGGTACTTTCATTGCGGAGTGATGCTCTTCGGCTGTATTTGAATTGTATGGAATAATATCAACGAAAAATGGAATTGTGCAAATAGATAGTGCTAATCTGACTGGCTTAACAAATTTTTTTTGTCGCATTAAACTCCATTGATTGATTTCATATTTGCTTCCAGGAAAACAGGAAGAATGTGGATGGGTCCAACTGTTGCATGGTAAGTATTATTAATATTATATGATAGAAAATCCGTACAAGACAATTCCGTTAATCAAAATCTCGTCCAAAGTATGGCAAAACCGATAGTAAAAGTTGTATAGTAGTTGACTCCTCCAAAAATAAGTACCATCAGGTGTTTCGAAAAGAGTAAGTAGATTAATATCAAGAGCCAATGAATTATTCTCCACAGTGACGTTTAGATTACAATTTCGTATCTTTTTTGTTTTCTGATATTTTTTGTATACATTGCAATCTAACACGTTTTCTAAAATAAAAAATTTGAATTATGGGATATCTAAACCTAAAGTAGAGAAAATTTGGGTTTCGATATCCCACAATTCCTTGTTTAATGAAGAATTGGGATTTACATCACACGCTTTGATTGGTTAAAAATATCACCATACGGCCAATCAGAGTTGCTTATGGTTTACAGACTTTCTGTCAAGGGCTTTCATTGGATGTATACGCTAACGAACAATCAAATCAAATAGCTGAGTTCACAATCTTCAATGATACAAGAAAGATGGCTATTGCAGTCAAGGTATAAGACAAATATCATAATAGCTTAAGATAGTAAAGATAAGGCTGGTGCAACACGTGATTTTGTTTGTATTTGTTATAGGGAAAGAGATCGACAGAACTGGATTATAAGAAAGAATTTAGTGGAGAACAGGTAAGAAATACATGGCATCCTATATTTATACTTTATGTTTCGCCATTTTTGCCTAGTGGTATCTTAGTCTCAGAAACGGGATTTTTTTTTAGCTAAGCTAATTAGTAACAGTGTTCGCAAATCACTGTCGAAATTTCAGTCTTTGAATCCATGTGTGTCCAGAATTATCCGCGTTTGAATGTTAAAACGACTCGTCAATTTAAGATACTCTGTGATTATATAGAAATAGTGAGTAAAATTCCTAGTTTGAAGTACTCTTAAAGGACTTTTCGATTTTCGTACATTTCGAGCACTTTTGAAAACTATTTACATATATTCAACACACAAAACCACACAAAAAGACGCATCTGTCCCTTTAATTGCTTATAATCATACTCAATGTAGTTATATTTTTATTATACATAACCTTCATAATAATTGTTTCAGTTGAAGGAATTGAATGAAGCTTTAAATGATACTATATTTGATAAAATTCAGGTAAGTTGTCACTCAGTTCCCTAAATTCTGGCACTTTTATGGACATTGGTGGGAGAGCTAGGGAAGCACCGAGTCCAAAAAACCGGGTTACATCGATTTCCGAAACCAAAAAAATTTTGACCAAAAAATGGAATTTGGTACCACAGGTAGCTACCTGTTGAAATTTGCCAATTTTGCCTTTTTTGAAAATCCAAACTTTGCAGCTTCACCACGGTCAAACCAGTTGAGATAGGATGATACTAGTTTCAAATCTTAGCTTTCCAATGCCACAAATTTGTGCATGTAGTTCGATTATTGGTGAACAGATTTCTTACTTTAAACCATAAAGTCGGCGGCATATCCCTTTAGTCCGAAACAACTGTCTCTGATAGATATATTGACAGTTATTGGCTGGATAACTTTCATAATAGCTATCAGAGGCTGGAATAGAGGCAGACGTTTCGGTCTACCCTTTTATTGAGTTTAAATGTTACAATGGCGACTCGTCAATTTCAGATACTCTTGGACGTACAGAGTAGTGAGAAAGTTTGATCTTTTGAAGGAATTATGCAATTTTTGCACATTTCTAGTACTTCAGAAGACTATTTACATATATTCAAGACTAAAATCACCCCCCCCCCCCCCCTCCAACCCTCCTTGAAAAAGACAAAACTCGAAATCTCGTAAAATAAACACGCTTTCATTCCATTTTGTGTCATTTTAAGGCAATGCTAGAAGATATTCTAGTTGATTATGGTCAAGAGAAGTTTATTGAAGAGTTCAGGACAGCTGTAATCAAAATGAATGGAGGTGAAACGGTAAATATATAAATTTAGATGAAATTACGAAGGAGGGATAAATAAGATCAATTTTTATACTACGATTAAAAAGGATTCACACGTGGACGTCGATGGCAACTTATTACTTGAATTAAAATGAAATTAATGGAATTTTATGTCCTACTTTTCTGCACCATTTGGGATAGATATATTAAATAACAATTACTAAATATGGTATACTACTCTTTGGGCTTATTTTACACAACGTTCCAACAATTTACATTATCATTATCAGTATCCATATGATGCACAATTTACAGTTGTTTAAAGATGGGTTCCCTATTTTCATTTATGAAAATGAAAATGCTTATACTTATATGAATAGAAAGTAGAGGTGTTCTAATGACTTGGAAAAATATCAGTTTGTTTCACAATGTCCATAATTAATTCATAATTAGCTAAATTAGAAGAGAATTACCAGCAGAATTCCAATGTGTGACTGATCAAGAAAGGTCAAAAATTCTTTTTTGTTTATCCAGACTGTATTTACATGGACATCAATGATTGGTTAAAACTCTTAATTATATGCAATATGAACATAATGATATGATTAAGAATACATGATTATTCATTAGAAACACCAATGAATCAAATACTTTTCTTAATTTGATAATTAGAGAATAAGGAATAAGGGAACCCATCTTTAAAATGTATTTATTTTTTTTTTCAGGTGGACCATTTAGAGTTTATGTTTAATGAAGAACGGTATCGAACTGCTCATATTGAAAGAGGTATATTAAATTTCATCGTCAGCTGACAGTGAGGCCGCCTTAAAGGAACAGTGGCGCCAATTTTTACCAATTGCACCTTAGTCTCAGAAACGGGATTGTTTTCGCTAAGCCAATCAGTAATAGTGTTCACGTCGAAATTTGAGCCTTTAAATCCATGTGTGTCCAGAATTATTCGCGTTTCAAAGTTAAAAAGACGAGTCTTCTTTTTTTGGATACTGCCTTTAACTCAAATTTCGACGGTCAACGGTGAACACCATTACTGATTGGTTTAGCTAAACAAAATTCCCGTTTCTGAGACTAAGGTATGATAGGTCAAAACTGGTGCAAGGGTCCTTTAAATAGATGATTGGAATTGGTTTAATTAGTTGAATGCCATGTAATAGTCATTCTCCGCAGAAAGGACATACATAAAACCTTTCCGAATGTTCTTACCATGAACGATCTTGAAAGAAATACAGTAATTTGATTGGTAAAAAAAACTAAATTTTAAATCAATTTTAGTGATTGACCAATCAGATGGCTTGAAAACTAAAATCATCTTAAGTTAAGTTTTCAAGAATAAGGCCCCTGGTCATAACGATACAATTTATTCCAGCAAAATCGGCGAGATTGAGCTACCTAAGCTATAAAGCTTTCCTTGGTGCTTTATTGGTTCATCAATTTCAAACGTGGCCCATGTACCAGACAGCCTATTCCATTTTAACATTAATTGTTGATTTGGACGAAGCCTTGATGAGTTGGCGTGGTAAGTAAGTCTCAAACTTGGTCAATACGAGTATATATTCATCATTCAGTTAGACTTACCATGTGCCATGACTAAAGAATAGAATCTCTATATAAGATGATATATCCTTTAACTAAGTAATTATTGAAAAACACTTCTTAGTTAAAAATTTATTGGATTATAGAAGGATTCTTTTGTACACTGATGAACAAAGACTCATTATGGCCATGTTAAAAATATTTTTGGTCATCCTAAGAGGTAGTATACGTCGTACTGTTTGGGTTCAATCTGGAAAACAACAAGCGGAGTGTATTGAGAAACCGAACGCCTGTCGATAGCATGATATTATTTGCTCATCTAGAGAACAGAACATATTCTAGTCGTTTTATGTTGCAGCCCGACACGTCAACATGGTACATAGAATGATTGGTGTTAAAGTGGGTACAGGGGGAACAAGTGGATATGAGTACCTTTCCTCAACTATCTGGTAAGCCTCATCATCGCTATAGATGATTTAAATCCAGTTTTTGTCGTGGGCATTTATCTGTGCCTTACCGAGCTGTCCATTGCAAACCTAAAGGCAGTCTGTTTATGCATGCCACCATCTTCTCAATGGCAAGCTTCTGCGCCTTTTACCCTGACTTCATTAGCCACTCGTTTCACAGAGATTTGTAACGACTTGATTTGATCGTGCGCCAGCAAAAACAGCCAATCAGAGCTCTCTGCAGAAAGACTGCTTTATCTCTGATAACATTATATTTTGTTTATCTCTGATTTCATTATATTATGTTTATCTCTGATAACATTATATTTTGTTTATCTCTGATTTCATTATATTATGTTTATCTCTGATTTCATTATGTTTATCTCTGATAACATAACATTTTGTTTATCTCTGATTTCACTATATTTTATTTATCTCTGATAACATCATATTTTGTTTATCTCTGATAACATTATATTTTGTTTATCTCTGATATCATTATATTATGTTTATCTCTGATTTCCTTATGTTTATCTCTGATAACATAACATTTTGTTTATCTCTGAATTCATTATATTTTGTTTATCTCTTATTTCATTATATTTTGTTTATCTCTGATTTCATTATATTTTATTTATCTCTGTTTTCATTATATTATGTTTATCTCTGATTTCCTTATGTTTATCTCTGATAACATAACATTTTGTTTATCTCTGAATTCATTTTATTTTGTTTATCTCTTATTTCATTATATTTTGTTTATCTCTGATTTCATTATATTTTATTTATCTCTGTTTTCATTATATTTTTAGTGACAGATATAAAGTATTCCTGGACCTGTTTGTTATGTCTACATACATTCTGCCATCCAAATATTTCGATTAAATTGGTGCAAATCGAGAGTATATCTATTTTTCTAGCTTATTGTAGACCTTTCTTTTTTCTGTGAGGCAAAAACCTGGCCAAGTATTTTTGAAACTATCTTAGTGTCAGAAGCGTTTCAAAAATACTGGGCTTGTTGCCTTTAAGTATGTTATGTCTTTCAATGCAACGCTTACGGTAGATTTCAAACTGTAACCACTGTAGACATCAAATAAGCGATATATTTAGTGGATATCATATTCATAGTTTTAATAATAATAATAATTACTTTATTCGCACACTCAGTGCACATACAAAAAAAAAAAATATACAAAATTCAATTCAAACTATTAAACATGCTATGATACACATAATTAATTAATAATTTCATCAATATTTGCGAGAATAACAAAGATTCTTTGTACAATACAAAATCTTTAATAGCACTTGTCAAATTCTGCATGAGGCATTTGCCCTTGAACATTCTTTCAGTTTTTTTTTAATGTTAAATGGATTTGAAACAGGATTTCTGAAAAAAAATGTATGCTTATTGGGGACACTGATAGCATCAGTTTGCACCATTCCAATTTTCAATCAGACGTCTGTGGTTCCAGCAATTCCACTAAAACTAAGTGTTTTATGATGCCCCGCAAAATTTACTTATATCACATAAGACGAGTTTTTTTTAGAAGAATTGAACTCGCAGACGTCTGATTGAAAATGGCAAGGGCGCAAATTGATGCTATCATTGTCCCCGATACACATACAAAATATAGAAAACCTCTTTACAATCCCTTTAAGCTTTTAACAATCTTTATGTCAAGATCAATTTTTTGTCACGAAGTCGGTTAGGGATTTGGAATCTTTGGTTACCTTGAACAAATGACTGCCTTTAAGTTAAGCTATTAATACATAAGATAGCAATATTATTTTTCAACCTGTTCCCAAAAGGTTTTGTTTTGTAAAGGTGCGAACGCACGAGAAGTCTTGGTCGGAGACTTTTGTCGCCGATTAGAGTCTTGTCTTGAGTTTCAACGGACATATGAGGAGACAAAAATCTCCAGTCGGTCGTTTTTCACCTTGTCGGTAATGCAATTGGAGCGGAGCATGCAATTAAAAGAAGGATTGGATGATAACACTATCCGAGACAATTATCAAACTTGTTTGATGTTATAAATCCTGTCGGGGACGCGATAATCTTGTCATAGAAGCACGGGCGCACGCGAGATTTTTTTCTCAAGACTCTAATCGGCGAGAATTATCTCCGACAAAGACCACTCGTGTGCCCGCATCTTAAGAAAACTAATATCGAAAGTGAAACTAGGATTTTAAACCAGGCAACTGTCTCGGGTAGTATGGAGTACAAAGTGCTTCAAATTATTCTTCGGGTACTCAGGGACAATGTTGTGATTAGGGTGGTGGAGAGGTAACAAGTTACTGTTCAGCGGAAGGCACTGGCACAGGCTTTGTGTAATTATATGAGATGTTGTGTGCAATTGGGACTTGTGCCTGTGTTTGAATCCATTCGATTTAAAAAAATTATATTTCAAAAACATTGTTTTGATTATATTGTTTTCTTTCGTTATCTTTATATATTTCCTTCCTTTTATGGATAATTGTAACAGAAAATATTTTGACAATATTTAGCTGATCAAACTCCTTGTTTCAGTTACCCGTAGTACTTTCAAGAACTGATATTTGTTGAATTATTCCCTTATTATCAATAAATTTGGTACACATATTGCTTTTTGAATATTTATTTATTTGCCTTTTTGAATATTTATTTGCTTTTTTTTTGAAATATTTAGTTTTTATTATTTATTGCACTATTTATTAGGTTTACTTTTAGTTTATTTTAGTTTTCACTTATAATGAAAACCTATATGTTATAACATAAAACACAAAGGGTATATTATGGTATAACTCACTTCTTTAATAACAAAGCACATAACACAATTTACACGTGTTGTGTTGAAACGTTATGTGCTTTGTTATTAAAGAAGTGAGTTATACCATAATATACCCCTTGTGTTTTTGTTACTCTCCACTTATATGTGTTGTGAAGTTTTTCATATTTTGTTTTTGTGTAAACGAATTACCTGTAACATAATATAGATCCTGAATATATTGGTTTCATCTGGTTTTTAAATTATTTAGTATTAATGTTAAAAAGTTTTTAGTTAATAAAGAATTTAGAAAAGAAAGCGTTGTTATTTCTGCGAAAGATCGAGCATTTGAGTCAATGGCGGAGCCAAAGGGGGACAGAGGGGTTACCCTATCCCCCCACCCCCTCGCAGCTCCGTAGGCATGTTTTTCGGTCAAAAATCTCATTACTAGGTTAGAAATTCTGGCAACCTCAGCAACACCTCTCAAGAAAACCATTAATTTTTTTTTAAAAATGTACCAAAGTAAGTATGTGATATTCTAAAAGGTTTACACGCAATATAAAATGGTTTACAACTTATTCTGGGACCCTACTTTTTCTGGGATCCTACTATACTGGGACCCTACTTATTCTGGGATCCTGCCAAGGACAATATTACGTCCTTATTTAGGGAAATGGGGCCCTATAACATCAATGACTTCCTATGTCGATGTCTGTAATCCCGGACTATTCCAACAGTCCGACAGATCATTAACATCATTAATCAGAATGCACGACCGTATCTGTTGAAAGAATAATTTCCGGAGAGAAACCTAACCCACTTAAGTCCATAGGCTCCCGCTCTGCTATGGACAGAAACTTCTTAAAGGGAAATATTGTCAAAGTTTAATATCGGTAAGATCGGATTCCGTTTAGTATTAAGCACAAATGATTCGGCTTTAAGGGTGGAGTATCACCGACAGGCTGCAGGAACACGAGGACCCCAAAAATCTCTCGTCGATCGTTGTCCACTATGTTGATAATCACGTGCGGATCAAGCATTTGAAAGGAAAATGAATCTGATTGGATGATAATGCTCTGTCTTGCAGACGAAAAAACAATCGGGAACAAATTTTTAAATTGGTTTGATATTATAAATCCAGCATGTCACACTTACTAAATATGATTAAAAAATAATCATAAGGACTAGAGCCACACGTGGCACAGAGTGGGACTTTGCAAATGTAGCAAAATGCTAAAGACTCTGAAAAAATCAACCTTCTACGATAATTACATCACGCGCAAGAGCAGTCTAAAGTTGAGAAGAATTGTTTGTAAGATTGTTATAACGGAAGTAGACAGCCCTCACAAATGAAAGTATCAGAAGATAGCCAAGGTCAATGACATTTGACATTGAAAGGGAGACGGTCAACAAAGGTCAAGGTTACGAGATACAAGTCATCCAAATTTTTAATTATATACGGCTATAAAACCGGAAGTTGAGATAGGACAGCAAATATAAAAGTATAAATAGATAGCCAATGTGAATGACCTTTGATCCTACAAAAATCAGGGTCAAAAAAGGT